ACAGATGGTTTCTAGCACTGTGTGGGGGACCAAAGCTTTTGACTCTATCTCAAAAAAAAAAAAAAAAAAAGATGAACAGACTTGAGTCACAGAGAGATTGAGGCACACAATTAAAGTCATACAATTAGAGGGCTGAACAGGAGATTCGAAGTCAAGTCCAAATGGATTCTTGAGCCTTAGCGCTTAGCTTTTAGCCTGTTCTCTGCTGGGCTTCTTAATCCAGCTTTCCTGCCTACAAGGCTTCCAGGCCTTCACCAGGGGCTTGAAGGCCTTCCAGAGAGCTGGCAGCTGGGCACACAATGTGCCCCCACCCCGGTGCTCCTCTCTTTGGTTCCGATTCATGTCACCTACACAAGCCCAAGGTCTTTCTGGGGCCACGCACCATTTAGAATGGTCCTCTGTGGCCTTGAAGGTTGGCCCAGCTGGCTCAGGGAAGGCTATCTGGGTCACATCCAGAACTTTCCAGGTCCCTGAGCAGTTAGAAGGCAGGATGCCTGGAGAGTTTGGCCAAAACTGGACCTGTAGATTGCTGCCAAGGGCTGCTGCCAACCAGCCAGAGTACAGGTCTGCAAAGAAGGGAAAGAGACACAGGGTTAGAGTCAGGGTCAGGGTAAGGATTCTTAGGCAGCTTCCCCATTCTGACCTCAGTTTCCTCATTTCTGAACTTAGCTGTCAATTCTTTGCAACTCCCAGGGGTGAAAAGATTAATATTAATAGCCCTTCCCAAATACTTTATATACATTTACAGTTTCTTTAAGGTAGGCATCAGTATCCTCATTTTTCAGAAGAATAAACTGAGGCTTAGATTAAATCACACATCAGACAGCCAGAAACCAATATCCAAACCCAGGACTGTTTACCTCTCGTAATTATGTCTCCCAGAGAAACCTAGTCTCTATCCCTGCCTTGCTCTCAGCCATAGACACACCAAACACCCTCTCTGCAGAGAAAGAGCTCTCCTACCCTCCACCTCAGGGCTTACCATCTCCAAAGTTTCCAGATTTGGCAAAGCTCTGGAAAATAGCCCCTGCCTGTGATGTGAGTGTTACACTGCTATTCCAGGGTTGGTGGCGAATGTGGTGGCCCTTGATCACATCCTCCAGGTCAGGGAATTTCTGGGCAAAGATCCCGTCCAGCTTATAGTCATAGACCAGAGGGAAGGTGTAGGTCAGCTGCTTGCCTGGAGGAAAAAGGAGGAGGAGATGTGACACCATTCCAGGTTCTGGTCTGGAACTTGGGAATTACCCTGCCTCATCCTCCCCACCCTCCCACCCCCCACTCTTATTCCACTCACCAATCTGCAGGAACTGGGTGAGGGGGAAAGACACACACAGCAGGGTCTGCCCATTGGTACAGGCACTGTCAGGCCAGTGGTATGCAACAGAGGAGGTGGGTGGAGGGAAGCGTGGCACACTGTGGACAAGCCAGAAGCCCCCATCGTGGTCCAGAAGCAGGACACCTGGACCAGAAGAGGACAGTCAGTGGGGACTGCTCAAAGCATCCTAGCAAATTCATCTGCAACCAGGAACACACTCAGTTGGCAGGGGGCTTGGTGCAAGCAGTGTCAGGATCACTGCTGAGCTCAGTTTCCCCAGGTGTGAATTCTTGTAGTCTGGAGTAAGACAATGATGAGGAAACAGATGCCCAGGAGCTGATGGGCACTCCACCCCCTACTCAGGTCAGGGATTAGCTTGGGAAAATGCATAGGGAAACCAGAGCCCCTCCCCAATCCAGGGCTCACCCTTCGTGTGTCCACGGCTGGAAGTGTCCTGAGTCCTATTGGGTTTAGGTGGTTGGTCATTGTAGAGCAGGAAAGCGAGCTGGATAGGGATGGACAAAGACAACATGAAGTTCTCCGAAGGCAGGGGCCCACCCTAAAGTCTCTGCTCAGGCTCTGTGGATATCCCTTCACCTGGCTGGTGTTTTTTTGGTACAGTGGCTTCAGGCTGCGTCCCACGGCCCCCTCCGAGCTGTTGATGAGCCTGGCACCGTTGCGCCAGCCTCCTGAGCCCGGGTCCATGTATTTGTACCGCAGCCCGCTCTGCGACGCATCCTGGGACCCGCTCTTGGCGGGCAACTTGTAGACCACGAACCTGGAAGTCAGGGAATTCACAGAAATGGAAGATGAGAGAGGGAAGGAACCCTGGGCTTTGCCGAGGAGTGTTGCACTGTCGAGGGGTGTCCCTTAGCTTAGTGCCCACGCTTAACTTCTGGGGGATAGTCGGCACCCGCGTACTCACCAGTCTACAGGCTGCCCCGTGTCCCCGTAGCAGGTCAGGGTCCTGGCCGGGACCCACATCAGCGCCGCCAGCAGCAGCGGCCTTATTGCCGCCATGAAGCTGGGATCAAGAAACCTGTGTCCGGACTGCGGGGCACTGGGTCACCAGCCCCTAGTGGCTCTAACTTTCCGACGCTTGCGGGGGAACTCAGGCCCGGGTGTCACGAGCACCGAGACTCCGCCCACAAGAGGAAACAGGTCCGCCTAGGAGCAGCGCTATCTTCTGGGCCATCCTTCCTGAGGGCCTCCTGTGTCCTGTATTCTTGATCCTCTATAGGCTCCACCCCCATCCGGTCCCGCCTCCCGCCTTGTGTGGCAGCTCCCCGAGCCCCGCCTCCGCTCCCGCCCATTGTGGCTAATCTCAGCGCGGGCTTTTCCGTATGACCCCACTCCAACCCTGGTCTCTTAATCAGGCACAAGTTTGGATTTCTTTCCTTTTCAGTCCTACAATCTCGGCTAAACTCTTGTGGCCTTTCCTGTCTTAAGGGGAGCTTGTGCTCCGGGTCTTCCCCCTCTTCATCCCGCACGTTTTCTGGGGGAAGGGGAAGATCCCTGAGCTAGGCAAGGGGTCACTTTGGATAGTGGCAGGGTGGTCAGGCTCTGGGGCTCGACTGAGGCTCTAAAATGGAGGGACAGGTTGCTGCGAATTTCCCCGGAACTCAAATCAAGAGACAAGGACGGTGTAGCCTGATCTTGGGGGATAAGAGGGGATGGCAAGGCCTGCAATGCCTAAGTGGGGTTGTCAGAGGTGAGGGGTGTCACTGAGGTTTGAGAGATCAGGGTGTGTATGACTCCTTAATGTCACCTCTGAGGGTACAGCGTCTTCCCATCTTCCAGCCCCCAAAATCCACAGACTCAGTACAATGCTAAAGCTTTATGGGGAGGGCATTTTTATAGACCTGTAACCATTCACAGCTCATGCCAGCCACCATGTAGGGCTTCAGGAAGAGTTACAGTGTGAAGCCCCCTTGCAGACCCAGGGTCTCTGAGACGCTTCACCCCACACCTCCTCCTGCTGTTCAGAGACTCCTTTGAGCTGGTCTGAGTGTCCATCTAAGCCCATTTATTTGGTCTGTCTCGCTGGGTATGCGTGACCGTTTGACGTTTCTGTGTGACTCTGAACTTGGAACTTCCGTTGGAAACTCACTCAGATGATCTTTCAGTGGACCTGTGGGACCGCGAGTCCGACAAGGGTCCGTCTTTGGGAAAACCACCCTGTGTGGATCCACTCTTGTTCTTCTATCCCCAGTCCCCAGGAAGGTCCATGAGCTGGGGCAGGGCTCAAAGGTGGCGCTTCATGTGTAAGGCCAGGTGGTCCGAGCGAGAAAAGGCGCGGGAGCAGAGCTGGCAGCGAAAAGGGCGCTGTCCTGTGTGCTTCCGATAGTGGCGGGTCAGCTCATCCGAGCGTGCAAACCTCCAGCCGCAGCCATCCCACGTGCAGGCGTATGGCTTCTCCCCTAGGCATAGGAGCGGGAGGGAGCGTGGAAACCGTGAACACCTTTGTCTGCCCTGGGTCTCCTGCATCAGGCCACACCCCTTTACTCAGCCTGGCCTGGGACTAGTGTGAGGCAAGTGAGGTACCTAGGGGGCAAAATTTAGGAGCCATCCCGCATCTGCATTCAGGTTTCGCCCTCCGAAACTATGACACTTCCTCTGCACCTGCAGAGCACCACTCCCTTTCTCATTATCTGGGCAAGCCTACACCATTGATCCCACTTTCTGTGCCCTGGAACGCTGTCCCTCTGTCCTAATACTGTCTCACCACCGTACTTTGTTCCTGCTCCTTGTATTCCAATCTCCTTTTTGCACCAGGAGACCCTCCAGCTGCTTCCCAACCTTGCCCTAGACCTTGCGAGCCCTGAAACTCACTCGAGTTCCAGGCCCGGTCCCCAGCAATTACGCTCTCTTCTCACTAGGCAGGACCCCCTCCTTCTTTCTCCCCAGGGACAGGTCTGTACACCTGTCTTGACCCCTCCTTTGTTCCATGGCCCCGCCTCCCCCTATTTTCCGCTCCTTGGGATCTAGCTTTTCAGCCTATGTCCACACCCCTCTTCTGTTTCCCAGCTCTTTCCTCTGTCTTCCTACACTTGCCTCCATATCTCATCTGGGCCCCTTCCTTTGTGAGCCTCCGGTAAAACTGATTCTATCCCTAGTCTCCGGTAAAACTGATTCTATCCCTTGTCTCACCCTCTAGGCCGCGACTCCAGCACTGTCTGGCGGTACCTCCATAACAAGCAACCAAGTGCCTGGGAATTCCATGGCCATGACCCCTGAGCCCTTGGCGTTCCAAGCTTGTCCACTCTCGGCAGTCCCTCCTATACCCCCATCCTGCTTTCTGCGCGTCTCCGCGTATCTGTGGTCCAGGTCTTAACCCGTCAGTCTCCAGCCTTGAAACTCTCCCCAGGTTTTCCAGGTCCTCTCTCTGCCCCCACCCTCCTTCCATACCGCTGTCCCTGAACTTGCAGGCCCACTCCCTGCCACTTCTGCCCCGCCCCTTACTCCAGGACTCTGCATTTAACCCCGCCTCCGGAGTTACTAGCTCTCCCCCTTCTACTAGCCTTTGCCTCTAGTCCCACCCCTTGCTTCTGGTTTTCAGTATCCCGGCGGCTCTGGGTTTCCCCCGCCCCGGCTCCAGCCCGCCCAGGAGACGGGGCCCCGCCCCCTCACCTGTGTGCGTGCGCAGATGCGCCTTCAAGTGCGAACTTTTAGTGTAACTCTTGCCACAGCCCGGGTGCGTGCACGTGTGTGCCGCCTGCCTCTTGCGCGCCCAGGAGCGCCGGCTGCGCTTGGACGGTGCAGCTTCGGTGATTGATCCTAGGTCTCCTGCGCTCCCTCCAAGTCCGGTGCCCACCGTCCCGGGTCCCAGACAATTCAGGAACGAGGGGCGCGCGGCAGGGCCGGGCGCGGGTGCTGGGAGCCCGCGGAAGAGCTGGAAGTGCCCTTGGTACTGCGGCACCGGATATAGCGTGGGGTACCCAGACAGCAGCCCGTAGGGGGCGCCTGGAGCTGTGGGCACTGAAAACCCGGTCCTCGGGAAGTAGCTGCCAGAGGAGCTGGCGCCCATCCCAGGGTATACCGGCTGTGTCTTGGGCTCGGGGGCCAGGGCCAGGGCTGGGCTCACAAAGGCGTCCGGAGCCGGGGCTCGTAGGGCTGGACGTGTCCAGCCTGACTGCTCCTCGTGATCCAGAAGCCCAATCACCGGCTCCGGGCCGCCCGCATACGCGGCCAGAGTCTCAGGCGGCGGCGGAGGCGGCAGGTATTGAGCCCCTGGACCCTCGCTGGGCGCCAGAGCACAGGTTCGGGGCACACTGCCTGGCTCCGGGCCCGGGAAGTTGGTGAGGAGGAGATCCAGGTCCCAGGTGGCATCAGCGTCCCTGTGATCTTCGTCCTCCCTGGGTGGGTCCTCCAGCTTCACGTGGAGTGGCTGCCCCATGGGGCCAGGGGGACCCGGGCCCATGTCCTGCTCCTCTTCAGAGTGCCACCACTGCAGGAGGGAGCAGGCAGCTTGAGGCTTCGGTGTACACGAGGGTTCCCTAACTATGAACAGCATGGGCTGCACACTAATAAGGACAGGTTGACCAGAGGTTTTGGAAAAGGGTCTTGTTTGCCTCTCTGTTGTGCATCCTACTCCCCTATACTGCTCCCCCCGCCCCCCAACAAACCCTCCATCTCCAGGGACAGAGGGTGATCAGGTCTGGTCTGGCTGGAGACAAGAGATAAGAGTTTCCATTATCAGAACCACATGCAGGGATGGGGGAAGGGGTAGCAAAGCCGGAGGGAGATGACAGGCAGGGAGAGCACCAAACTTGACTCAGTTTCCCCTCAGAACCTCTCTCTATCTCCCAACAAGATTTTTTTTTCCAGACAGTCTCACTATGTCGCCCTTCACAGCAATCTCACATTCTTGGGCTTAAGCGATTCCCAAGTAGCTGGGACTACAGGCACCTGCCACAATGCCTGGCTATTTTTTCTTGTTGTTGTAGCTGTCATTGTTGTTTGGCGAGATTTGAACCCACCAGCCCCAGTGTATGTGTCTGGCACTCTGGCTGCTGAGCTACAGGCACCAAGCCTCCCAACAAGATTAATTCCCAAATATTGATTGTCCCCAAGCACATTTACCATCCCTTCTGATATCCAGGAGGTTGTCTCTCAACCTAGACCTATACGGGTGTTCAGCTCAGAACTTAAGTTTTCTCTTATAGAAATAGGCCCTACCCAGAATCTTAATCCCCCAGACCAAGCTCAGATCCCTGGCCTAGGCTGAAGGTACCCCAGTCCTGTCCAGGTCTCTTGATTCTAGGGCAAGGTACAAGGTCTGGCCCCCAAGCTCTATGATTATGGCCTTGGGTCCTAGCCAGCCTACCTAGATCCCACCTGGTCCTACCTTGAGGAAGTCCTCCTGTGCGTCTGGGAAGGGACCCAGGGTGGTGAGTGTGCTGATGGAGGGCAAGGCGGTCTCAGCTGTAGCCATGGCTGGCTGGTGCCCACCCTTGGCCTCAGGCCTCCTCTTCCTTGGCTGCCTCGTGTGCTCTGAGGCTCTTCTGGCCCCTTGGAGGGCTCCTCTTTGCCCTCAGCTGATTGGTTCTAGCCCCTGATAAGGGACAGACAAGGCAGGGGGGCGGGGTGCCACTGTTTCTGGGGAACAACCTCACCTCAGGCTGTCTGTAGCTGAGCCTTAAAGACTGACCATGTATCTAAACCCAAGTTAGACATCAGGAGTTGGGGGCTTAGGGTTTGGGGGTTCAGGTACAAAGAACATCACTGGATCAGCACAGAAAGAGAGACTTGGGGATGTTCCCTCGATTTACCTTTCTGGAGAATGTGACAGGCAGAATGGGTATGCTGGAAATAGGCTATGTGACCCCCTCACCTCCCAAGCAGGGCTCTGCAGCCCTCACTCTCCTCAGTGAAGAGCAGCAGCCATGCTAATGGCGGGACTTGGCACCAACTCCCTGCTAAGCATTATCAGACACCCCAGATGTTGGAGGCTGCTATCAGGTGAGGGCCCAGACCAGCCAGAGCTCTGTCCCCTGGTGAATGGGGAAACTGGGGGTTGGGTCTCCAAATAAGCATGATTTTAAATTGCCTTGGTTGGGAGCTCCCAGGATCTGAGCCCTGGGGCAGGAGGAAGCCCCAGCCAAGTAGCCCACTATTGTCTACTGTGGGCCCTCAATTGACACTGCACAAGGCTGTGTGGAGGCTGAGGTTCATGCAGCTACAGCTGCTCCAGTGCAGTGGGGCCATGGAGGGCGAGATTATCCCCTCTCTTGGGTAGGATGGGACTATTGGCTCACTCAACACACAGAACCTGACCTGCAGCAGGCACATGCCTTGGCTCCTGGCTTGGCAATTGCTTGATTTCTGCCTGATGTGGGGATAGGATCTGAGACCTTTTACTCTGGTGCCCCGGTAGCCTGGGTAGGGGGCATGGACACACATTAGGACACAAAATTTATAGTCATACATACAGCCATAATTACATAGTGACACAAGTTTCTGGTCTATCAGTCACATCTGCACATATAAATTGTATGTCTGTGCGTGCATACTGACCATGTAAAGACACACAATTCTGGCTCGGCGCCTATGGCTCAAGCGGCTAAGGCGCCAGCCACATACACCTAAGGTGGCGGGTTCGAATCCCCAGCCCAGACCCGCCAAACAACAA